TGTGCAGGAAGTACGACCAGGCTCTGGAGTACCACGGTCAGGCGCTGGTGCTGATCCCCCAGCACGCCTCCACCTACGCAGCTATAGGATATGTCCACAGCCTCATGGGAGACTTTGAGAGTGCCATCGACTACTTCCATACAGTAAAACATTTTTCAAATCAAATGAGTTCACCGGCCACGACAGTGGGTACATTTTAGGGCCGAGAGATTAATCGATTTCATAGATGCATTCGATGTCCATCATATTACTATCTTAACTTGAACTCTTATTTATGAGAGTAATTATGCTGTATAGCATTTCAATGTGTACCATTATCATTAGCAGTGCTAATCCCTTCTTCCACGGAGGCGTGAAGAATTGCGACTGTTGGCCAAGGTAGAAAAAGGCGCATCCATGTCAGGGTTCGTTCAAGGTCGCAAATGTACGTGAAAGGTTCGCCAGATGTTCGCCAACAGTTTTTCTTGTCAACATTTTTCTTGTCGCCAGGGAATTTTGAATGTTCATAGGTTTATTGTACCATTTGTCATCCAGTGGAAGCGCGGTTCATTTTTCTCCCTGTCACTATATGCCGCTGGCATGGATAGAAAAACAAAGATATATTTCTGATTTATGGAAATATACAAATAATCATACAATAACAAAATGTTTCATCATTCTGTGAGAATTCTTCAGGTGTTCATTTTGACACATTTTACCGAACTAAGGTCCAAGTGTACTGAACCAAAAACCATGACCACAGATCCAAGATAGTTTTGTCAGACTTTACTTTAAACCACCGGGTTTTTTTCCCCCCCCTCTTAGGCGCTTGGACTGAAACGAGATGACACGTTTTCCGTGACGATGCTTGGCCACTGCATCGACATGTACATTGGTGAAACAGATGCCTACGAAGGTACATTGCATTTGTTTTTGTTCAGAACATTTTTTTCCCCGGTGAAACAATTGGAAATATGTGTAAAACTTTGCTGAGCCAAACTAACTTTTTTTAAGTAACATTTTAAAATCAATTTAAATTAAGTATCTTTAAAAAAGTGAAATAAATCTCACGTGACATAGATGAAGTGTTTCCGTGGTGACCCATTACGTGTGCATAGCATTGTCAACAGTCATAAAAGTGTAAATAGAAGTTAACTGCTCAGTACAGTTCATTAAGACTGCTTAACCTGCGCTCACCATTAACTTTTTTTTTGAAATTCTAACGTCTTTTTTTTTGTTTTAATGATCTGATCTTTATGTTTTGGCTACAGAGGATAGGAAAAAAGTCTACACACCCCTGTTCAAATGCATCTCCCGCTAAGTGTTGAACCACTGCCTTTTTAGTTCTGAAACTACCTCTGCATCTCCATAACTTCTATTTGCTGTTTTATGAAAGTCATCACAGTGTTCCTCTTTCCCATCATTGACAACTTTTTCCAAATGTGTGCCCGTGAAGGTACCGACATCGGCGACAAGGTGCGAGGAAGCGCCAACACGCAGACGCTGATGAAGGCGCTCAACGCGACGGAGCTCACGGAAACGTTGGCCTCGCTGTGGCTGGAGGACGTTAGCAGCACCATGATGGGGGAGACGCCGTTATCCCACCAGGACAAGATGGTCCTTGACGTGCCCCTGCGGCTGTCCCTGACGCTGGAATGCGACACGTACGAAAGCGACGTCATGTTGGACACCCTGTCTGACACCAGCATGTGATTTCGAAGCAACAAGGTTGTCATGGAGACGACACAACCAAGAGTGGAAGGCAACTTAGCATGTGCCTTTGTTTGGGGGTCTAAAATGAGATCTGGACTTAAATACTAGGCCTCGGAAAGATGCTTGATTGTTTGGAGCTAACACAATCTTAACCTCAAAACTTCAAAAACTGTCGGCACTTTTTTTTTTTTTCAATGCTTTTCCTCTCAGCAGTACCTGCGGATTTTTCATCAAGACGTCAGAGCCGCAACCGTAGACAAAAGTGCAAGGAAGTCCATTCAATAAATCATGCATTTGTCTTGAAAAGATTTTAGCATGAGTGTGTGTATGCATGTGTGTGTCTGTTTGACATAATTGGATGGAAGTGTATTAAGTTTTCATGGGAAATCAAACCACTGTTCATTCCATCATATCATTTGTGTTACGCTTAGTTTTGACATGTGATATTCACTTTAATTTTCATTCAAAATGTTGCCTTTTAGTACTTAAGTACATGACAGTTTCTAGGAAACAAAAAGAAAAAAAGTGAACTTTGCCCTCTGCTCCTATTCTATAGAGGCCGTGCCCCAATACCTCATCTACTCGTAGAATAAATACATGTCATGTGTTCCCCAACAGAAAGTAAATAACAAGTGACGACTCTACGTTACAAGTCCTTGGACACCATAATTCTAGAAATTCGACAAAAAGTTTTTTATGGCCCATTTTTTTTTTAATTGCAATCCTCTTCATCTGAATTCGAAACTTTAACCTCGATTTCATCCACACATGTGGTAGCTTTTGTCTATCCTCTATGTTTGTAAGCATGATGCAACAGTGTCAACTGAAAACAGTCGTATGAAGAAGAAGTTCTGTACGGCTTTCTCATGAGGCGTCTGAAATATAATGAAGCAGGAATGTTGTTCAGTCTTGCAGACCAATCCCTATAGGAAAAGGTTCTTGGGCCATTTCGGAAGAACTTTATATTCAGATGAGTTCCTGATGTGTTTACACGCAAAAAAAAAAAATAGATTTCCAGAAGCCTGGACAGGATTTGACACGCAACACACTTCTCATGAGGCGTCTGAAATATAATGAAGCAGGAATGTTGTTCAGTCTTGCAGACCAATCCCTATAGGAAAAGGTTCTTGGGCCATTTCGGAAGAACTTTATATTCAGATGAGTTCCTGATGTGTTTAAAAAAAAATGCTGGTTCTTTTGTTATGGCTCTGATGCAGCAATTTTTGCAGGAAAAAAACTGACCTCCAGGTCAGGAAAAACTCCAAGAAAAAGAAACATCAGTGGAAAAATGAGAAACCTTGAAACCGATGGAGGAATCCCCAATCCAGGATGCCCAGGCAGCAAAGCATGCCGAGTTGGGCGCTCTTCAATGTTCGTGAGAATAATGTAACAGTCCATTTATGTCGCGTTTGCGTGGTGGTGGTGGACCCCAAAAAGCAGGCAGGAGGGAGGAGCAGGGTGTATTCGAAGAAGTGTATTTAAAACAAAGAAAGGTGGTCCACCTCGGATCTTGTCCAGATGAGTCGGACAGAATCTATACAGCGACATCCAATTGGGTCATCGTCACCAATCCCCGTCTCCAAGCCGAGGAAGTTGTGGGAAGGAGGAAGCGCTTTACAAATAGTTTTTAAGTCTGGTATTAAGCTTTTATATGAAGACACCGTATTTAATTTCCATGAGTAAAGTATTCCAGAGCACTGGAAATCAAACAGGAAATGCTCTAGAACGCGCAGACTACTTTTTGGCTCACTGGATCACTTAAGGGTAGCATTGAAGGCAAGTGGTTAGCATATCTGCATTGGGTATGGGTGTTCAATTCTCAGCTCTGACCTTGATGTGTGGCGAGGGCAAGTCCTCCCTGTGCTTGTGTGGGGTTTCTGAGGCTACAGCGGCTTCCTCCTACATTCCATAAACATACGTGTCAGGTTAATTGATTTCAATACACGTTTTAGTAAACATGTCAAATGCATTTTTATTTTTAATTAACAGGGAGAGCAGTGGTCAGACTGTTGAGTTTAGTTCCATCAGGATGAAAGCCCAAACGCGCAGCCTACAATGACCATAATGCCTTCCCTTTTTCCATTTGCGGGTTTACCAATACAGATTTATTTCTTTATTTGATGTCTAAATAGCTACTTTCTTTTCATGAATAAGTGGATCAGAGAATGAATGAGAAATCTATTTTTCTTTTAATTAAATTAATTGTTGCTTATTTATTTACCTTTTTAACTTTAACGGCAGCAACGACAATAACCAGTGACTATTATTATAACTTGGTCACGAAAGAGAACGTATATTTTTTTTGTATTATGTTTTTATTTCCATTTTGAATGCATTTGATGTTTTTTGCCCTGATGAAGAACACAAACAGGAGAGAAATGATGTAATTTC